TTGGGATTTTGGGAATGTAAATACACACATCTGACCTGAGTTTTAAGTCACCAGGTCAAGGATTCAAACTGTGGTCAACTACATGGGAGTCTAGCAACATAGCTATGACACCATCCGCTGGTTCCAGAAGAGGTACCCTTGAAGAGAACTAAGAAGGAGTTCTGTGTGGGTCCCATAACAGCAAGTAGGGACAATCTCTAATACATCAGTTCTTTCATCTATAAAATGAAAGCAATAAAGGCCACCCCTTGGGGTCCTCGGTAACATTAAAAGGGATAACTCATGAAAGGTGTCTAAAATGGCCCTAAGCAAATGGACTAGACACACAATTTAATTTCAGTTCCTGTTCCTTCTCTAACAGTAGGTTTCATTATAAAACTCAGAAATAATGTCCAGCCTGCTCTCTGGGCATAATATGTGAGGTTTCCACTGGGTCCCTGGTCCACCTATCAATCAGCCACTGCCTTGGGAAGATGACAGGAGCAGGGCATGGCATAATCCATAGATCAGGGATCGTTTCAGAAAGTACAAGTTTCTTTCTCAGTACACTTTAACAGCCTGAGGTAAAGCCTTTAGACTCTCACAAAAGGTCATGGCCTCTATAAGAAGGCTTCAACTTTGAACACAGAAAAAGTCCCCCTCATTCTAAAGATGTTAATCACACAGAGGCCAGATAACAATCCTGTTACTGAGAGACTTAGGTGTTTGTCTGGTCTAAGCATTTTGCTAGTTATTGGATGATGTCTATGGGAACATGGACTCATTGTATGGTATAATATACTGTTAACTGTGTACCCAAAGGATTTGAATGATATTCATGCATAAAGCCCATGTAGATTCTTAAGATTATGCTATCCTTATTAAACAACACTATAATTTATATAGGACATATTTATTAGTCTAATCAATCTAGATATGCCAATTTAGATCTTATTCAAGTACTTCAAAATTATTAAACCATGAGTAATGTTTTTCATTACAATTTTTATAAGCAAACAGAACATTAATCAGTATGTCATAACCACCGCCCAGTCTTCTGGACTATAGAAACCATAAAGATTTTCAACAGAGATCTTTTAGCAGAAAATATATCTACTTTAAGTCCCTAAATCTCTTCCAGGAAGTTTACTTTGGGGATCCCATCTCTAACTTGAACTCTCTGGGAAGTGGGAATTCTAACCTACTGCTATGACAATGAACTCTCCCAAACTCCAGGTGCTACCAATATAATAGTATTCAGAGGTGAGGCCTTTAAAATGTGACTAGGCAATGAGGTATCCACCTTTGTGAATAGTAGTTAGTGACCATACAAAAGAACTTGAGGCTGGCCCCGTAGCCTAGTGGTTAAGGGAGGCAGAATGCAGTTCAAATTCTGGCCCTGGTGGTTTGAAAGACATGCTGGGCATATGTATGCATGGCCTAAATTCCAATAAGATGGAGAAATGCCCAATTTGGGGGGTACTTTCTCCCTCTCTCTCCAGGTCTCTCTGGTGAATGCATGTGCCATAAATTAAAACACAAGCCAAATCCACCACCACTACCCCCACCCCCAAAAATAAAAGTGGCTTGAAGGAGGAAATCGGTTCTGTCTTGTTCTTCTGCCTTCTGCCATGTAAGGAGAGCAAGAAGGCTCTCTGCAGAGCAGATGCTGGCTTCACCCTGGACTTCCCAGTCTCCAGAACTATGGAAAATACCTTTCTGTTCTCTATAAATCAGCCAGTCTCGGGCATTCTGTTAGAAAAGCTTGAACAGCCTTAAGTCACAACCACTGAATAAAGTGTGACAGGCAACTAACATTGAAAGTTCAGCTGTGTTATGCCATTAGTTTAAGGTTCATGAAAATTTACTTAGTAGGTTCATACAAGAGGGCTGGGGCTGCCACATAGTCAACATTTTCCCAAGTCTTCTTGCTTTTCATTATTCATACTTGCAATTTTATTTTGGATTAAGATACATATCTGTATGTTTATGTAGTTAAAAAAAATGTTAACTAATTATAAGATCTTTTTCTTTTTCTTTTTCTTTTTTATATTTTATCATCTTTAGAATCAGTCTGTGGCAGAATGTTTTTCCTTAGCAACACATAAAGTAGTGGTATACTTCACAGAAAATGGTGCATTGTAAATGGTAAAATATGGCAGATTTGGCCAATAAAGCCAAGCCTTCCTTCCACTTTAGTCAGAAAGATGAAAAATAACATGGAACTAAACTACATTTTTTTTTAGAGTTTTTTGCTATAGGGAGCGTGCACTCGCCAGAAAGACAGAGACAGAGACAGAAAGCAAGAAATCAACCCCCAGGGGGGATGGCCACACTGCAGTCCCTTCTCCTCCATTCTCCTCTCGGGATCTTGGGCACACACGCACACACAATCAGCATGAATTTAAGCCACTGGGTCCGGAACTTGAACCATGGTCAACTACATGGGAGTCCAGCGACATAGCCATTATGCCAACTGTTGGTCCCAAGTAAACTACATTTTAATTAAATTATTTTAAATTATTAAAATTACATTTTAATCATTTTGTAAAAACACCACCATAAGTTAAGATCACTCTACATTAATGCCACAATGTTCACCTAGTTCATCTTTTTTAAAGAGACTTTTGAAAAGGAAAGTATAATTAAAATAATAACTAGCAAACATAGCATTTCTCTTTTTCTACATGGTGTCCTGTGTAAATCATAAATATATATGGTTTCCTTTTCAGTGTTTTGTTCACAATGACATAACTTATTGTTTAATACGGGAATCTTTGTATGTTCTTAACTTAAGTATATCTTGATATATGACAACGTACACTGGGCAAGAAGATAGGGCTGGTTTTTACCATGAATCACCTGCTATCAGAAGACACAGACCTCGTGAGCCTGATGTGCATCAGAGATCACATCCCAGCTCCTTTTTTGGGGGGGGTGGAAGGGAGAAGCTTTTTTTTTTTAATTGTGTGTTTTGTTTTCTATAGGGCGTGTGTTCTCGCCAGACAGACAGAGAGAGACAGAGAGACAGAAAGCAAGAAATCACCTCCCGGGGGGATGACCATGTCGCAGTCACTTCTCCTCCACTCTCCTCTCTGGATCTTGGGCACGCACGCACATGAGCCCTGCGTGAGTTTAAGCCACCGGGTCCAGGACGCAAACCGTGGTGGACTACATGGGAGTCCAGCGACATAGCCATTATACTAACTACTGGTCCCCCAGCTACATTTTTTAATAAAAAATGGTAGAACGGAGGTCAATCCATGCTGCCCACTGACTTTACTTGTGTTTCTAATAGCAAATGTCCCCTCATAATGTCCTCTCAGCAGCAGAAACAAGTGTAGTGACAACCCTCTGGTCACTTCAAAATATTAGATCCCTCCATTTCTTTATTGCAGAAATATAGAAAAATGTATTTTTTACAAACCAAGTGAGTGTGTATTTCCCATTACATAATTAGCATATCTCAGATATTTGCTCAAACAGCTATGAGTCTTAGACAAATGATCTTACTGTTTACCTTTTTCTTCCTTTTTTACCATTAAAAATGTACGGATTGTTGATCTTTCTGACGTGCGTGTTTGTATTCTGGAGTTACATTCCAGATATTACAACTGTGCTTGATTTATGTGCAAAGAACTTCAGGTGAGCCCCTTTGTTAGAAATGAATAGGAGCTTAGTGCAGACATAGGCATTTTTCTAACCATTTTCAAGAGACACTACAGAAAAGCTTGCTTCTAAAGCAGAGACCTACAGCTAAATGGGCAAAAGGACGAAGAGCTAACTCCACTGATGGTCAGCTGAGGCCAGGACGTGGTGGCACAGATGCCTTTGCACTAAGGCCTCTCGAATGCCCTCCAACACTGGTGTGAAAAGCCTTGGCCGCCCTCACTTCACTCCAGGTGTCATGATCTCACCGTCTGGATAAAGGAAAGAGCAGGTTCCTTGACAATAAACAGACTACCAGAGCCTGGTCAGACGCCCGCAGCAGTTCTGGTCTCTGAGAACCAGCAAGGACTCCACAGAGCTGAGCAGTGCTTCTCTTCCCTCTGTCTCACAGAGCTATGCCAAGACTAACAGGGGAACTGCAGTCCCATGACAGCAAAGACTTCCTAATGTCTCAACTGTGTGTAAGTTAAGTGGCTATTCATGTGTGCTGATCACAGAAGAGGAAACCTGCCATTACTGGATGAAGGGTCCCAAAGTTCAAAGCATTAAGAAAAGAAAAGAAAAGAAAAGAAAAGAAAAGAAAAGAAAAGAAAAGAAAAGAAAAGAAAAGAAAAGAAAAGAAAAGAAAAGAGAAGAGAAGAAAAGAAAAGAAAAGAAAAGAAAAGAAAAGAAAAGAAAAGAAAAGAAAAGAAGAAAAGAAAGGAAAAGAAAAGAAAAGAAAAACATTGGTTCCTACAAGCAAAGACTCAAACAATTAGAATAGCACAAGAAACTGTGAACTCTGCATTTTTTGCATTCAGAGGCTTGCCTAAACCCAGGAAAATCTCCCCTCATTTCTCAGGGCTCCATGTGGGAAGGTACATTTCTCCAGACACTCCCAGGACCTCGAGCAGGAACTATGAGTCTGGCCCACACAGGGATCAATGAAATATCATTTGTGTATTCCTTTCAAATCTTCTCTGCAATAGATTCTGAAGTTACAACTCACAAGGATGATGTATGGGTGTATGGATGTGGACATTCCTATTTTATCAGGCCAGAATGAGTAAGGTGTCCACACCAGACTCTGGGAGAAAGCAAATGAACAACAACAACAACAACAACAAAAAAAAAACAATGAAACAGTAGTAGGCCCTGTTATCAAACCAGCACTGTTTCCCCTACAGACATTTCTCTTTGGAGTAACTAAGAGCACATGGCAGTATCCTGCGAGGCCCTGGGTGAGCTAAAGCAGTTTGGGTTTGGAGCACAGGCCAGACTTGCAGGGACTCTCCTCTGCAAAGGCATGGGCTGCAGGCAGAGAGGGCTAGATGTCAGCAGGGCAGTGTCTGCAGCGAGGGTGGGGCGCTTACCGGGCAGGCGGTGATGCTTTGTTCCCACTGCGTCATGCTCAGGCTGTCCTCCAGGCTCGTGCACTTCTTCATCACCACGTCCCAGCCACAGTAAGGATCCTGGGCCCCAATGCAGGTGCTAGAAACACACACCATGGTCAACACAAGGGCAGCTTCACCTACCACCAGAGATGCAAGCACAGTCCAGTGTGACCCTCAGGACTGGGCATGAGGCTAGCCCTGAGAACTAACGGGCATTTATGTAGTCCCCTCACTGTAGAACATTGCTATGGCACAGGCCAGGAAGTACCTAATTAAAATTAAGTCACTTATTTTGACTGAAGTATCTGCGTCTTATTTAGCACACAGGATAGAAGACTAAACGTGTCAACATAAGCATTTCAGTGCCATGAACAAAGTCCATGTCAGAGTCTGCAATGATCCAAAATAATACCGCTGTTACTGTTGCAAGCACCACTACCATCATCATCATTATTCCTTTAATTACAGATAGTATGTGTAATGCTATCCACCTCCTCTAACTTGTCAAACCATCATAGCATGGGGACACTTAACTTCGATAGGCAAGTGTCATTATTTCCACTTCATTGTCATCATCATCCTCACCACTTTATCGATGAGAAAACCTAAGAAACTGCCTGAAGGACAATCAGCTACATCCCAGATCCTTCAACCTGGTTCACTGAAGTTCAATAAAAAGGATAATCAACTTATACTTCCTTTATAGTAGCTTAAAAATGCATTACATTTTTCAGGCCTGTAGGTAGCATGGTGGTTGAGGTGCTGGACTCTCACATGGCTGGCCACAGTTCAAGTCCCAAACCTGGCAGCTTGCTTTCTCACTCTCCCTTTCTCTCTGTCTGTCTCTCGCTAGTAGAAAAAGAAGAAAGAAGGAAGAAATGAGAAAGAAGAAGGAGGAAAAGGAGGAGGAGAAATAATATTAAAAATAAATCTTCCACTATGCAGTGCTTACTGGATAGGAGACTGCATTTTGTGTGCTGTGATGATGCTTAGGGAAGCAATGTAAATTGAGTTACAAAAAAAAAAGTTTCAGGAAAAAAAATATATCTATTCAATGACTGCAGTAGGATATGTAGCCCCAGCTAGGTGCTACTTTATAGGATGCATAAAGTTAGACTGGTGTTCATGGAAAATAAATAAATAAATAAATAAAATAAATAAATAAAAATAAATCTTCAAAAAATGTATTATATTTTTCAATTTAATAGTTGTTTAATATAGCTATGTCTATAATATCCAACATATTATATTAGAAGTATTGCAGATGATGGACATTTTATTTTAGCTTTGTCTAATGGAAAGAGTTCAGAACACACTTGGGCATGATTAGAGAAAGGTTTCATCCCCTGTGTTTATAATGCAAGAGAAGGTAAATCGGGGATGGGTGGGAGAGGGCAGAGATGACAGATGGAGCCAAAAGCAGATTTTGTCACAGGCAGATGGCATCAAACACCGGGGAATTCTCTAATGAGGTTGACAAGTCAGATATGGAGGTGAGGAAAGGGAGGTGATGATGGCATGGCGGGGCCAATGTCCTCTTACAATAGGTGACAGGCCACTCACAGCAAGAAAGGCCCTGTAGAGTTACCAACGAACCAGGCAGGACTAGAAATCAGAGCTATCAAACACAGGATAGGGAGGTAGTCTTAGATGGCCCTTCCCACTGCAGTTCCACATTCTGAGGATTCAGTTACCAGGGTCAACTGCTGCGTGAAAACATTAGAAGGAAACGTCCAGAAAGAAACATTCATAAATTTTAAGTTGCACAGTGTTCTGAGTAGCTCAATGGAATCTCGCACACCAGCCGTTGGGCTAGGTTGGGGTGCAAAGGGGAACTAAGCAATTACTTGTCACTTTAACCTTCTTAGGATGCCTTGACAGAGGACCACATGCATATATTACTCTCATTCGAAAATTCCAACAAGACAGTCAGAGAGGCAAGGTGAACGCCTCCCTCTTCAGGCTTACATGGTTTGGAGCTGTTTGCCCACAGGTATGAGCACACAGCTATGCTATACATATTTTTCCTTTTTGTCATTTAATCTTTTGTCTTGATATACAAATGCTATAAAATGTTATGCAGTAAATTTTAAGATTACAACCTCTAAATTTGGGGCCATGTTTAGAAAGACCTTTTTCTTTAAAGATTATAAAAATATTTATCCTGATGCCTTCTGATCCTTCTGCAGTATCATTTCAGTTGCATCCCTCTCTTTGATCCATCGGAAATGTATTTTCATAATTCTCCTTATTCCCCCTACTGGAAAAACCAAACACCATATATACATATTTTAAATCTAAAGTTCTCAAATCTTGCACCAACACCAACAGACCCAGGTGGTGGGAATAGGAGTGAAGAATGTGATTGTGGTTTCCGTACCCTGTAGTTATTCAGATGACACCTATCTCAAATACAGTTTACAGTAAGCAGTGTGAGCATCAACTTCGTAATGCTCTAGTTGTTAGGTTTGAGAATATAATATGTAATAATTTACTATTTTAAATAAATGACCAGTTCCAAAATATGAATTTTACCTATCTTCTTATGATGTTTATGTGTCCAAAATTTCTCAATGTTAACTCACAATTGATTTAATAACATATTTTATTTACTTATTTTTTGCAGGTGATAGGAAAGAGGAGACCCAACTCTCTCAGCCAGTGGCTGCCCAAGACCATGAAGAGTGTACATCTTTGTGTGCACAGAGTAAGGACAGGGAAAGTCAATTCTCCTTGAGTAACTTTGCATGTGAGATATTGATCTTTAAGAAAATGCCCAGAGAGAATTGTTGGAAAGCTCCAGACTCTTCAAAATGGGTCCATTAAGACAGACTGGGGACAGGGTGACTACGAGTGGAATTCTAAGTGCTTTTCCACATCCTGCTGTAACCTCCTCTGGCTGACAATAAGATTGGAACTGAGATGTCCTAGTCTTACTAAACCAACCAAAAGAAACATATGTCTGCTTGCAGCCCCTCAGTCAAAGCCGGAGTAACTGCTTTCAGATGAGCTGACGGAGTGTGTATCACAGTGGGGATCCCTTGGCGGGACCCCCTGTCTACATTGGGAGTAAACGTGGCAAAGCCACAGAGTCCCTCCAAGACCTGGATTCCCTGATCATGTTTCTTATTAAAAGCAAAATGACCATTAGGCAATATTAAACTTCCAAAAAGGGAAAAATTCCATAGCCTTTCTGAGGGCACTTCGGGCTCTCCGCAAAGCTGCCTGGAGACCTGAAACAATGCCACAGTGTTAAAGGGAAGTATTTTAAGCTGTTTTAAATGAAAAACTGCCTATAATAACATCTCTCTCCCGATAATGCCAGTGGTTCTGCATGTTCTTAATATTCCACTTATCCCTTAAAACAGTAAAACTTCTGTACAAACACAAATGCCCATTCAATGGAAATATCATGTATATGTACATATAATTTCCTCATGTAAAATATTTTACACCATGGGCAAAATTCTGAGAGTTCTATCTTTATTCTAAATTATACTTAAGAAGAAAAAACAATCTTCACAAGTTATTATTTTTGGAAATTGGGACTCCTAAAGAGACCATGTGGGAAATGGTAGATTTCCCGTTAATACAGCCACCAGGAAGGCAGCTTTCTTTATCCACTTTAAAAATGGTTTCCCTTATGTGATAAATATTTTTCATCAAAATTTCAGCTTGAGGCAATTGTTCTATGTTCTCTCTATATGCCACAGCACACTTAGTTCCCTATAAATGTATACAACTATAATTTGACAATATTCCATAAAACAGTTCTTTAATTTGTTAATAATCTTGCATTGCTCTTATTTTATTTATTGCCCTGAAAGTATCAGAATTTGTGGGACAACACTATAAGAATGTGAAGGTTTCATTTTGAAACATATTTACTGAGATATGTTTTAGAGCTAAATGTGTATTTAGAGGCAGGCCTTTATTCTAGAAGGGTAAACTTCCACTTTTCCTTTTAGATGACAATAGCATCAATATATATCTAAAATCTTCTCTTACAATTTTTTTAAGAGGTTTTCGCTATAGGGCGTGTGTGCTCGCCAGACAGACAGAGAGAGACAGAGAGACAGAAAGCGAGAAATCACCTCCCAGAGGGGATGGTCACACCGCAATCCCTTCTCCTCCATTCTCCTCTTGGGATCTTGGGCACGCACGCACACGCGCCCGGTGTGAGTTTTAAGCCACCGGGTCCAGGACGCGAACCACGGTCGACTACGTGGGAGTCCAGCGACATAGCCATTACGCTAACTGCTGATTCCCTTCTCTTACAATTTTTAAATGTGCAGTTATGCTGTTTATGCATTTGGGTGAGAAGAAAACAGATAAGTTCATTAAATTTTTTTTTTTTTGGAGAGATTTTCACTATAGGGCGCGTGCGCTCGCCAGACAGACAGAGACATAGAGACAGAAAGCGAGAAGTCACCCCCCAGGGGGGATGGTCACGCCACAATCCCTTTTCCTCCATTCTCCTCTTGGGATTTTGGGCATGCACGCACATGCACCCGGCGTGAGTTTTAAGCCACTGGGTCCGGGACGCGAACCGCGGTCGACTACGTGGGCGTCCAGCGACATAGCCATTACGCTAACAGCTGGTTCCCTAAAATTTTTAACCAACTTTCTGGAAAGTTGATGTTCATCACCAACTATTGAGTCATCAGGAATGTCATGACACATTTTGCATGAAAAAAAAAAAAAACAGTAAAATACTTGATGACTTTCCCGATGACCTAATGTAATCCCCTTGCATAGTGTACAGTGGATTATCTAAGTATCAATGACTTTATCTGGTTTGTTTCTCTCACACTAATTGTCACTTTATCAGTTTATTTGATATTGAAAATTTTTGCCACATTAACTAAATATGGCACACACAGATGGATCGATATAGATACAGATAGATGGATATACACACACTTGTAAATGCCTGAGAACACATATGCCTGCCGGAAAGAATGAGAGCAAAAGAGAGAGAATACACCCCTGAGGGGCCTGGTTATGCTATCTTTTTTCCTTGGATCCTGAGCACAGGATTTGAACTATGGTTGACCATGTAGGATGTTCCTTCCTCTGCACAGTGCTTAACCACTG